TTTATCATTTATATCGATTTTTTTTCGAACACTTATATTGAAGTTTGAAATTGAGGAATGCCTTAAGTTTTTTATACATGGTAGTTTTAATATTTAAGCCAATCACGTATTTCTTGAGTGACTAGTTATGTAGTAGATTCTCTGGAACCGATCTATTTCTTCTAGGTATGGGGATTACAACTAACATTTTATTTTAAGTAAAAAGACTATTAATGTTTGATTGAATAGTTAATTTAACTTTTTTTAGAGCATTATGACCCTCAATATTTCATTTTGTGAGTAAATGGTCCCTATTTGGGAACATTAATTATTTATTTAACTATGGTGTCAAAAAATCATTTATTAACTAATTGCTTTCATTTGCAATATAGATCCTTTTACACTAAAATAAAATATTAAAGGTTAAAATATTCTAAAAGTATATAAATTAAAATAATTATTTAATCAAATATTAAAAATATTTTTTAACATTATACTCTCTATTTTCCTAACGGCAAACTTGCATAGGATTCTCAGAAGATAATCAAAACAAAAGTAAACTTCCAGTTCGGAGGCAAAGACAAAAACTTCACATGCAAATTGAGGAAAACATAGAGCGCGTCATGAACCAACACTAATTATTTTATTTTTAAAAAAGAAGAAGAAGAAAATATCCAATATTTGGAAGCCAACCTCCTGCGAATGCAACGCACCACCGCAAAATCCTTTTATGAAAAATAGTAATAAACTATGATGGGGACCGACCATCATATCTTAATCCAACGGTCGAAATTTATCCTTTTACCTTATGATAAAGATAAAGCTGGAACAAACAGATCTTGTGCTCGTTACTTATCCACGTTCTGTGACAGCTGTGAACAACGTGAGACCAATAACGTTGCTCGGTTCTGCCACGTCATCTTCATGATGATCGTTGGCTCCCGTGACCCCACACCATGTCTTTTGTTGTTGGACTAGAGTTGTACACCGATCCAAATTAAGATAATAAATCTCAATGAAATCTGAATTATTGTCTGAAATCTAATATTTGGTCTTTCCACTTCCGGTTTGAGAGCAAGGGGAGAAGTTTCATGTTCTCCAACAGAGCATTGTTTTTCAATTATTTAGGCATGTAAATGAACCGAATGCACACAAACGGAGATATATTTATGTTTGTTCATTTAATAAATAAATGAATATAAACGAACAATTTTTTTTTTGTTCATGTTCGTTCATTAAGGAATATAGCTTGTTCATGTTCGTTCATTTAATAAATAAACGAACACGAACATAAACGAGCACGGACATAAATGAACACGGACATAAACGTTGGAGACCCTACCTTCCATTGTTCTTTCATGAAAAATAGTCGACAATGCAAATCAACCAAATCTACAATGATAAATAGCGTAAAAGCTGATTAGCAGTGATGAAATGTTTGAAGATATCAGATATTTCAATCGATCTTTTAAAGATGTTAAGTGATTCACACAACTTTAATTTAACGCTATAACATTTATCTTAGTGGTCCATGACTACATATGAACAATCATTTTCCACTACGTTATTCTAATAAATTCGCCGGCTAAAAGTTTTGTGACATCAATGTTAGGCTTTAGTGAGATTTGTTAATAATGGTCATTTCCATTGGCAGAGTAGAAAATTTAACAGCATGGAGATTTCGAACGGTACAAATTGGACTACAAGGCAATAACATAGATTCGAAGTCCCTCTTATGCTACATATCTAACTGATATTATTGCTAAACCACCATTCAAAATTTTAACGTACCTAAAGTCTACTCAACAACTAAAGGTCACACAATAACTATGAAAACAAAAGTTCATTGTCAAAGTGTATTTTCTACTTATTAATGTGTTCTTCCTAGAAAAACCATTACTTCCATAATAACTTTACATATCAACTATTAAGCCAAATAAAACAGAGAAAGAGATGAAAAACAAACCTGTAAAACTTCAGATTGCACTATAATATAACTTGTTTTGAAGCTTTCACCGATCGTCTCCACTCTCTAGTGAACACTAGGGTTTGGGAAAAAAGAGGGGAAATGAATATATGTGCGAGGTGCCTCACAGGTTAACATATTAGATTTAATCTCCAAATAAAATTGGGTTAATTATGGAGTTGGTCATTAGAATATCAGATTAATTAATATTTTTAAGATACTTACAAATTGGTCACCAAAATTGATTTGAGAAGATTGGGTTAAACATAAATGAACGAACATAACCGAATGTTCACGAACGTAAATGAACGAATGGGACCTATGTTCGTGTTCGTTCATTTAATTAAACGAACAAAAAATCTTGTTCATGTTCGTTCATTTAATAAATAAACGCACATAAACGAACTTCCAGCCGCATGGTTCATGAACGGTTCATTTAACGTTCAGTTCATTTATAGGCCTACAATTATTGTGTAGGTTGCGAAATGACATTTATGGGTCTTTGGAGTAAAACGGCTTTGCTTAAGGGGGTAATTAAGGACAAATTTAGGTGTTAAAAGGATATCAATGCCCACTTAATTAATTAAGATTAAGATGGGATTCTAACGCTCAACCTGTGGTTGGTGAGTTAGGTCATTAGGGGCTAATCTTCCTCAACCCGTTACCAACACTATTCCATTTTCATTTATTCTTTTTGCACTTTCTACGATTTAAATCTAACTTCAAATCTCTAATTTATAATTGAATTTTATCTTGTTAATGTTTAACATATATTTAATTAGAGAACTCATTAAGTGATATCAATGATCGAAATGAGTGTTATTCTCTCGAGAGATCCTGAGTTCAAGCAATTATGTCTGTGGGTATGTGTACGTTGTCAGGGAATAAAAAAATATTATAAACAAATAATATTTTATAATCATTTTAGGCTATTTAAAAAGTATACTTAATTATGCCTTAATTATGTTATGCTCAATTTTTTTTGATTCAATTAAGATGATTACAAAATAGTATACGTTCTAAATACTCTCAATAATTTAACAATGAACGCTCAATTCATCTTGTTGCAACTTGCTGATGTTCGAACCCGTGACCTCTAGGAATAACAATGATTCTTTTATATACAGAGATAAATTAATTCGTACATCTTATACTCAAATTATATAAATAAGATTAAGAATTTGGTAATATTAAAAAGAAAGATCATTCAATACAATAAACTCTTAAACATCACAATGCATCAAATCTGTATATTTTTTTGTCACTCCTTGACAGCCTAGTTTCCCTAGATTATTTCACAGTAAGTAAGAGTCAAAGAAAACGTTTTCATCATTAACCAAGTTTTGAATGCTCGTGAGTTGTAAGATTCTTGGTAATATTATTTTGATAAATCATTTTGAAACGTAATAAAATAAAGAAGTGTGTTTAGAGGATGAATCACACTTGCACAAAAATTAAATTATTTGTTGGGATTGAGTTTTGGAAAAAAATATAATTTAGACTAATTTAATTGTAGGAGTAAATTTAAAAGAAATAATTTCATTAATATTTTTCGTTACGACACTCTAATAGATTTTAATTTCTAAAAGTTTAGGTTAAAGGTGGTTCCTTCAGTCCAGGAGCAGGACATACTAAAGATCAAATTGGGATTTATATAAGAATTTACAGATTGTCCTCCAAGAATAACGGTGGTAGGAGATGATATAATGTAAATTAAGTATTTATTTACATGTCATTAAAAAAATTGTTCCATGTCACCTTTCTTTCATTCTTCGTACTTTGCAAAATAAAATATTAACAAAGTGTATATTATTAATAAAAAATAAAATATTAACAAAGTGTATATTATTAATATAAATCATAAATTATCTTATAATCACTCTAAATTATTAAAAAAATAAATAAAAAGATGAAATTATGTTTGAGGAACGAATACAATTTTATTATTATGTTTTAATAATAAATACAAAATAAGTTAAAAGTTGGAGGAGAGGCCCCCTGCCTCTATTTGTCCCTTAGTTACATCCTACTCGATTGACAATTTAAAATAACCAAATATACTGATTTTATTTTTAAATAATAATAATTTCATTTTTTAATATAATCAAAACAAAATATTATTTTTAAAAAAGTACATCTAAGATTAAATAATTTGATTATTCAACGTGAAGAGAGGGAGTGGGGATGTCGGAGCTTGTTATGCTCAAAACTGACCAAAGCTGAAGATTGGACTGCACATTCATTGATTGTACCATACCACATTGCCGTTCAACATGTTACGTTGTTGCCTCAACCTTCCCCACCCCTTTCTCACCATCTATCCTTCACTCTTGTCTTGTCATTTTCTTATTCAATGCTTTCAATTTTATTGTCAAACATTCATTTATGAATCCCTTTTCACCACTTATTACTAGATTTGGTAATTTGAAAAATATGACACATCTAATAAATATAACAATTATGTATTAAATTCAATTGATACTCGTACCATTACTACTTTTTTTCTTATTTCAGTTCTAAGGTTTCGTCCTGACTAATCTGGACCGACCCTGGTCACACATGACTTTGACAGGTGAATCTCTCAGTATAAATTTTCTGCATATACAAAAACTCGAATCTGAAAGTGATAACAAGCTGCTTACTACTTAAACTAACACCGTTTATATACCATTACTATCTCATGCATGTTTGGTATACAAAGTAAAATTCTAATATATTAAATGTTTTGTATATATAGTCTTAATTTGATGGATATCATTGTTATTATAAACACACATGATGATGTAGATTCAAATATTTAAATATATTTTTTAATTTATGAATTAATTTTTTAGAATATTAAGATATTATATAAAAATAGGTACATATTTACGTGATAAACATATTAAAAAAACATGAAACATGGAATGCATAATATTTTACTAGATTTGTTTCGAATGCTAAAAGGTAAAATTGTTTATTGAAAGTTTGGATAAACATTTATCTATTACGAGCTATGTAGTGAAAATTGGATATCTTAATTGTTACAAAACCAAAGAGATGATATAAGAAAATAAATAAGATCTGTAGAATGGAGTCTGAAAACGGGGTAACAATGGAGGAAGATATAATCGTCATTGAAAAAACAGAAGTTGAAGAATCCGCTGCAGAAGAAAAGAAAGAGGAACCCAGTGCTGACACTAATGGTGAGGGGCCCTCAAATCTGAAGGAAGATTCAAAGCAGCAGGGAAAAAAATCTCAAGGCAAGGCAAACAAAACTCCTGCAAATGTCTCAAAGATCTCAGAAACCTCAAAGGTACCATTTTTCATCCATTCAAGCTGTTCTATTGGTGTTGATCACTCATATAATTTCTTATAGCTTAGAGTATTTGTCCATTTCGATGTGTAGGAGCATAGTAATGTGAGTGGTGGTAATGCAAAGAACATTAAGGTGACAAAGGATAAACCTCATCTGAGAAATGCAGTTCCAGTTACTCGTACTCCGAGGCCTGTGCTGTCCCAAAGTCATTCATTTCCTGCTAGAAGAGTCCATGGGGATGCTCTTGTGAAGAGCATTGATGGATATAAGGAGAAAGTTGACCCCAAACATGGCCAGGAAAAAAACTCTAAAGCCCATGTCTCTTCTTCCAATGGATCAGGTCTTTTATTGTCTCGTTTGAGTCATCCCAACAGGCGCGGATCCCTCCATGTCGACTCAAAGAACGTGAATGGCGCTGGAACTACTTCTAGAAGGGATACTTTAGCATCTTTGCCTGGCAATGAGCAAGCTGTGGTATGAATGTGGGATATCATCAATTTCTATTTTCATTTCTACTTTTTCACTTTCTAAATGTCTCTTTCTGTTTTATCTTTGTGTTTACTTATCAGCCTGCAGAATCTGGTCATGGTAATGCGGCTGCTAAGCCCTCTTCATCGTCCGAGTAAGTCTTAGTTGCCATATCATCACTCAGATGCACACTATTTAACCTCTTCTACTTTGGTTGTATTGCATATTTATTTTAATGCATTTATATTCAGGGTAAATTTGGTTAAAACTTGGATGCAGAATAGATCCCTTTGTTCCTTTGAACACCCCAACTCCATTGCAATTAATAAAAAAACGAGCTCGGGGTTGGCAAAACAGAGAGGGAAACAATTATATACTTATTTAATTATGCTGTGACCAAATCTTGTATGATTGCAGATCAGCGGATTCAAAGCCGATAACAGCTGCAGCGCTGAGCAAAGAGGACGAGGATGCTCATTCCACTACTTCGTACTGTCATTATTTTTAACTTCCATTTGCCATGCTAGTCATTTTGTTAATTCCTCTTCTTTTATTGATATGTCTGACTTTTTATCGTGACTATTAGCAGTGCCACTTCTCGTAGCACTAGGAGGAGTAGTGGTCCAGGATTCACCTTTAGATTGGAGGAACGTACTGAAAAGCGGAAGGAGGTTGGAAATATGGACCAATCTGTTATTTTCCGGTCACATTAACTTTATAAATGATTGTTCATGAACTTCTCCTGCAGTTTCTTTCGAAGCTAGAAGAGAAGATCCATGCGAAGGAAGTTGAAAAGAATAACCTGCAGGCAAAATCAAGGGTCTCGACCATAGCTTTATAGCTATGGCCTATTGCTTGAATGATCATATTTTTCTATTCTATCAACTAGTTATGGTTTCCAAGTTTTCCACTTCAATTCATTCTATCTCCGTGCCGTTTCATTAATTTTTAGGTTTGTCGCATCCTGCAGGAGAACCAGGAGGCAGAAATCAAGCAATTAAGGAAGAGTTTGACTTTTAAAGCTACACCAATGCCGAGTTTCTACAAAGAACCTCCTCCAAAAGTTGAACTAAAGAAGGTAATTTGATGACTATTGCTAATACATTTATTCTCTTCAAAGCCACATTATCCTTAGGATATTTGAGATATGCCTATTTTTCTTATCATATCGATTGATGATTTTTTTGTAGTATGATGTTGATAATTGTGATACCTATTCCAAAAACTTTGAATTGTTTTACCACTATTAGGGCAGTAAACGAGCCAGTCGAGCTCGAGTATTGCTGAACTCAACTCGGAAACTTTAAAATAGAACTCGATTTGGCTTGAAATCTCGCGAGTCTAAAATTTTCAAACTCGACTCGAACTTGAAATCATGAATTGAAGCTCGAAAAAGATTGAAATAAAAAAAAATCTTAAATCTAACTCGGTTGAAGCTCAAACTCAAACCTGAACCATAAGCACATGAAAACCTTATACTGTATTTTTTTTAAAACATCAACACATAAATGTTAATATTATCAATAATTTTTTTTTTAAAAAAAATAAAATTTTAATATATTATTTTTTTCGAGTTACTCGAGAGCTTTTCGAGTCAAGTGTCAAGTAGTTCGTTTCGGCTCGCTAAGAACTCAAGTTGAGTTCGAACTCGAGTCTAGTCCATTCGAGTGGAGTATTTATCGAGTTTTGATCGAGTCGAACTCGAGTATCTTACTATCTGTCTCGTCTCGTTTACAGCTCAAACCACTATACCATGAATGATTAGGAACTACAACTTTCTCAATTATCGTTTATTGGTTTTCTTTTGACGATTGCGAAAACGACTGGTGTGTAGATAGAAACTGCTGTAGGTGAAGAAAATACTTGGATCCTGCAGGCTGTTTACTGGGATTTTAAGAGTTCTATGTTTGATTCAAGTTAATGCTCTGGGATTATTAGGTGGCTTTTTGCTTGAACAAGAGAACTTTTTGTCAGTTAAGGTTTTATGCTTCTACTTATCCTTAACACATTGGTAAAATGATGCATTATCCCAGTAAAACTCGAGTGCTTTATCTTTTGATCGAGCACTTCAACACAATCAATGTAGTTATGTGTAATAAGGGCGGATAACGAAGGATAATGGGCAGATGAACATATCGGTACACTTGTAGAAATGGATCAAGTTTATTTATTTTACAGCATTATATAGTTCTCTCTTAATTTATTGTTCTATCTTCCGTTCATCTCTACTCCAATTATCTGATATCTACTGTAATTTTCACAGATACCTACTACACGTGCAATATCCCCAAAGCTTGGGAGGCACAAGGGCGGCGCTGCTGAAACCAACTCTTCTAAATATACTTTCTTGCATCTTAAGCAGTACCACATGGTTACCTTAATCATCAAGTAACTTCTAAATATGAATTTTAACGCCAATTTACACTTAACAAGCATTAGATACCCGAATTCTATTACATCAAGCAATACCACACGGTTACCTTATTCAAACAAAGATGGTATACTTAGAATCATAAAACTAGAACACTTATAATTTGCTATTATATAATGTAACAAAATGTATCCCAACGATACATTATTGACACACACAGATACTCGAATTCTATCTCATCATCAAAAACACACAAAAATCATCACCCATCCGTCTCATCTGGATCGTAATCTAAATATACAACATCTTTTATCTCGCCAAACATTAAAGTCTATTCAAATCTAGTACAAAAATGTTGTGTAATCTATGACATGCTAAATATATCCGAGACTTAACTAAATGAAAAAGGGTTCAATTTCATAATCATCATTTCAAGTAGCATATCATCGTTTTCAGAGCATAACATAAAATAACCTTACCAATTCCACAAAATTGTTATCTGAAGTGCTCTATGTGAGCCAAAGCATATAGTTTACCATAATTATACATAACAACCTGTTGAAAAAACAAAATAAGGTGAATTCATTGATGAAATTAATAATTGAATTAAATTCTTATCTTTTAAATAATGTAAATTAAAATATATGTATTATCTCTTTAAATTTGAATATTAATATGATAATTATATCCTTTTGAATATTTCAAATTAAAAGGTATTTATTATCTATTTAAATGTAAATATTAAAAATATGACTACATCTTTTTAGTTATTTTAAATTAAAAATATCATCTTCAGAATTTGAATATTAAAGGATAATTATCTTTAGTAAATCTCTTATGAAAATCTTGTATAAATATTGTGCTAACCTTCTAGGTTAAACACAATTCATAATTCAAGAACTTGAAACATTTTGAAAATTCTTTTTCTCTTCTTCTAATTTTTTCAGATGATAGGCGAACTTAAGGTATAGTTGACGATCTCAACAATGGTGCTACTATACGCTGATCATTTAGTAGTTGTATCTTGGGAGACAAACGAACTACGATTTCGAGCACCTATCGATCATAGAGCCTATCATCACATCAAATTAAATTGTTTTGATAAAATAATCAATTTCATTCATATGTGGGTGGAAAAAATGAGTTGAATTCATTTTTGAATTTAATAATGAGATTAAATTTATATCTTTTGAATATTAATAGTATAATTATATTTTTTTGAATATTCTAAATTAAAATGTATTTATCATCTCTTTAAATTTGAATATCAAAAAGATATTTTTCTGTATCCTTTGAATATGTCAAATAAAAAGATGTTATCTCTTTAGAATTGGAATATTAAAGGATAACTATCTTTAATAAATATATATGAAATTCGTATAGAAATGGTCATGAGAATACGAAGGATTTCAATTATTTATTATATGTCATGAAATTTATCACAAACAACACTACGAAGTTCAAAAAAAATTATAACAAATAATCTAGATCTCCTAATTTTCTAACACCTATATTTTCTTAATTTTTAATAGAGAAAATCGCCTCAGTGACCAAAAAAAAGTTATAATATACGATTTTAACCAACTTTTTTTGGATTTGCCAAAATGACCAACAAAATCGCAACGCGAAATAAAAATCGCAACGCGATCCCCAGAATCGCAAATCAGTTTCCAAAATCGCAACGCGATTCTTGAAAATCGCAATGCGATAGTACAAATTCGCATTGCGATTTTCCAAAATCGCAACGCGAATATGAAAATCGCAACGCGAACACATAAATCGCAACGCGTATCCGTAAATCGCAACGTGTATCCGTTAATCGCAACGCGTATCCGTAAATCGCAACGATAATACATAAAATCGCAACGCGTATCCGTAAATCGCAACGCGATATTTAAAGCGCCATTATAATCGCTACGCGTATTTTATTTTCAAATTACAAAAACGAATATTAAGACAAAATCCCGTAATCGCAACTCATAACCTAAAACCTAAAATCACAACTCAGTCCCATCTCCATCTCTCACTCTCTACGGCGAAGAAATCCGTCCTTATCTCCGAAGATTTCCGTCCCCATCTCCGGCGAAATCCCTCACAACCATTCACGGTCAGAAATCCCTCACAATATTCAGAAATGGAAAATCAACCTCCGAGGGTTAGTTTTTTTAATTATTTTTATTTTGAAATGTTTGCATTATTGTAGGTTTTTCATATTGAAACTGATGATAAGTTTACTGGTCATTTCAATAATAGATTAACCATTTCACTTAGATTTCATTTCGCGTTACGATTCTGTCGTTGCGATTTTCATTTCGCGTTGCTATTCTCTCGTTGCGATTTTCAAGTTAGTATTTGTCTTTGTCTTTGTTCTGTCTTTTGGTTGAAGTAATGCAATCCATTCAAGTTTCAATTTGCAGAAGAGTCGCAACGAGATAAATGAAAATCGCAACGAGAGAATGACTGTCGCAACGAGAGAAATGAAAATCGCAACGAGAGAATCGCAACGCGAAATGAAAATCGCAACGAGAGAATCGCAACGCGAAACCAAAATCGCATTGCGATTTTCATTTCGCGTTGCGATTCTCTCGTTGCGATTTTCATTTCGCGTTGCGATTCTCTCGTTGCGATTTTCATTTCGCGTTGCGATTCTCTCGTTGCGATTTTCATTTCAACCAAAAGACAAAACAGTGTTGCAAATTTTAGTTTCAAGAATAAACTACTACTTTTTATGTTTATTGTTTTTGGTATATCTTCACAGTGTAGATTTTGGTATATCTAACTTGGTATGTTTATTGTTTTTGTAGAAATTTTTTTCGGCTCAATTGACCTTGAGAAATAAAGTCAGCCTGGCCACTACAATTGCTTCGAAGCTTTCACCTGCTCAAAGACAATTGTTTGAGGAAACCTGCTTCGGGCCATGGCTGAGAGTACAACATCCGGGTGGAGATGCTAATTTGACCCATTTGTGGCTTCAGACCATGACATCAAATCTACCCGACAGTATACAACGTGGTGAGGAAGAGATATGGTTTCATTTTCCACCAGCGTATACTTGTTTTGGGCGGAAGGAGTTCTGCTTAATCACTGGTCTACGATTCGGACACGATGATATAGGCCGGTACACTCGTCATATCGCCCGCCCATCATGGTTATCCCGGGTTTTTCCGGATGAGTCAATGGAGAAGCCGAACCTACATGTCGACGACCTGAAGAAATTGTTTAATAAGAAAGCTGGTTTCACTCGGATGGATGACGTCGATGTTGTCCGAGTATGCCTTCTACTACTTGTGTATGCCGGCTTTTTAGGCAGAGAGGCCAGACAACCTATTCATCGGGAGCTAATAATATTGGTAGAGGACCTCTCGTATGCTTGGCGTTGGAGCGTTTGACGACGGGAAGCATCAAGTATCTACCTCCCACCGATAGAGATAGAGCTGCAGTAGGCTTGTGGTTTCGGCATTATATGGCTAAATCGATATATACGAGACGCTGCCTACCTGCATCCGCGTTATAAAAATGTCCATAAACAATTGGTAAGTTTATATACTTTTGGTTTGAAAATGTTTGGTTAAGTACCTAGAATTCAATAATTTGCTGTTTGTAGGTTTTAGATGTGTAGAAAGTGTTGTTTGAGCAAATGTTTGGTTTCTGCAGGTTAATCTCAGAAGTGAACTGCGTGAAAATGATGTATGGCTGCAAAAGTTGATTCAATAGTTTAATTGATTGTTTTTTGATTGTTTAATTGATTTGTAAAAGTTGATTCAATAGTAGATGATCGGAAATAAGAATTATTGCTTATTTTTTGATTGTTTAATTGATTTGTAAAAGATGATTTGTAAAAGTTGATTTGTGTAATTGATGCGAATATAATTCTTATTTGTGCTTGTTTAATTGATTGAAATGTAATGGTTGATTTTGTTGATTTCAATCTGCATTATGTTGAAGGCAAAATTGACTATCGCAATGCGAAATGAAAATCGCAATGCGAAATGAAAATCGCAACGAGAGAATCGCAATGCGAAATGAAAATCGCAATGCGGAAATGAAAATCGCAACGGGAGAATCGCAATGCGATTTTAATTTCGCATTGCGATTCTCTCGTTGCGATTTTCATTTCGCATTGCGATTTTCATTTCGCATTGCGATTCTCTCGTTGCGATTTTCATTTCGCATTGCGATTTTCATTTCGCATTGCGATTCTCTCGTTGCGATTTTCATTTCCGCATTGCGATTTTCATTTCGCATTGCGATTCTCTCGTTGCGATTGTAATTTCCGTGTTGCGATAGTCAAATGCATGCCTAATAGTGATAACAACTGAATAACAAGAGTTGGTTAAGTCAAAATGGTTGGCCTGAGTCATTAATTCAACTGAAAATGTTAAAAGTTCACACATAAAATCCACATAATACAACGTTTGCATTTAAAATCACCTAAGTTAACAGTCCCAAAAGGTGAAGCCAATTGTGATTGGGATTTTAAAGATGATTGCCTTTTGCTTGACACCATATGAGCTTTGGATTTTGATGAGGATCCATATTTTGGTAGAGGAAAAGATGATTTTGATGGCACTGGTGATCCACATGTCAACCTTGTATGACCACTTTCCTTGCACCGACTACATGTCGATCTCTTCTTCTCTTCACCCTTAGACGGTATACGATCGTGACTTTTTGGTCGGCCAGGTAGCCTTCTGTCCATGGCTGGTGGCAAAACTGTTTGTAAGTCATCTGGTATGTCCCACTCAGAAGGATGTGGAATAGGGTAGACAATCTCGGCATAAGTCTGTCGATAAACTTCTGTAGTGTAGCAATCCATAGCGTATGCGCTTGAATCATCTTGGTTTAAATGAAGAGAAACTTTTATAACATGGCCACACGGATAACCAGATGTTTGCCATTTCATACAACTACACGTCTTTGCATTTAGATCGACTAGCCCATTTAAGTTATTATCCAGTACTTGAAACAAAGTGTTTGAACATGGTTCAACTCTCCATGACGTTGACTTCACAACACGTTTCGTTATCTTTTTTCAGTCCATGGTGTAACACGATGTTCCAATGTTCCTGTAAATTTAAATAAACAATACTTAGTAAAATATATAAATATGATAAGTTACGAATTCAAAGAAATAATACCTGCATGGTTTCTTTTCTTGTAGTACCACTGTTGAATAGAGGCTCGAAAAAACTCCATTAACATAGTAATGGGTAATTTCCGGGAATGACGACTTAGAGCGTTGATTGATTCTGCACTATTAGACGTCATGAAACCATATCTTGCTCCAAGTTGATGTACTCTTGACCATCTTTCAAACCCGACATCTTCTAGTGTTTGAGCACACTGAGGCAAAACACGTCTTAAACAATTTATATGCTTATTGAAATCCACTTCCCGATAAGCTTTTACAGCCTTCCAGTATGTCCATTTGTGCTTTTTTATACCAGCAGACCTTGATTTTAGATTTCTATACAAATGAACACCACAAAGTCCATGAAAAGCATCTGGGAAACACCTTCTAACAGCGTTGTCAATTGAGTTTGCCCTATCGGATATGATTGTCAGATTGCTAATAGGACCTATGCAATCCCTAAGATGCCCCATAAACCATGTCCATGAATCAGAGGTTTCAGATTTGCCAACCCCGTAAGCTATTGGCAATATCCCATTGTTAGCATCCATGGCTACTGCTAATAAGTTTACTCCAAGGTATCGACCTTTCAAATGTGCTCCGTCAACTATAATAACTGGGCGCATGCAAGTAATAAACGAACGAATCTACAAAATAATATACACAAGAAATATAATCATTTAAATGTGAAATGCATGTAACTAACAAAATGAGTCAACAAAATTATATTGATTTACTAACCGTAGCACCAATGGCGATAAACAACAACTCAAAGCGTCCATCTCTATCTGTTTTGATATGAGTTACCGACCCAGGATTTTTCAGCTTTAAATTGTGACAATAAGCCGGCAGTTAGGCAAACGATGCTTCTGGCGACCCCCTCAACAATTCCAAGGCATAACATTTGGCTCTCCAAGCTTGAGAATATGATATACTAATCTTGAACCGAGCATTCATGTCAGTCATAATTTCATGTCCCCGATATACCCTGCCATTCAAAAACATTAACTCAGCCAGAAAACCACCCAACACCTTTTTGTTTGCCTGTCTATGGTGAGGAAAAACTTGGGTTCTTGAACATGTATGTTTATCAATAAAAGTCCTAACTTGAAACATTTCGCAATCTTTTATTCTCTTTGCAATCATACGCCACATACAGTTTTTGTCAATCATACACCTTGTTTCGAAACGATCTTTGCTTGATTTGTTAACTTTTAGTTGATAGCCATCTTCCACACATTTCGTATACAAAGCTATCTTCAAGTCTTTATTTGTATCAAAACAATCATCTTTCTTGATACGAATAACTTTTGTGTAACAATCAACTGCTTTCTTTACCAACTCTTCTTCCGGTATCTGAAGTAATTCTGGCATATTCCAGTTATACGCCCGTGGCATTTTCTTTTCTTCGGGGATTTTTTCTTCTTCTTTTTCTTCTTCAGGATTATATGAATTACAGAATGGATGTTCAACATGTTCATTCACAGTCGTAACTTCCTCCTCATTATCATCAACAATACATTCTTCGGCAACGGCTGTTTCATCATCAAAATTCGGGTATTGACCAATATCAAAATCATTACACGCAGGGTCTGTTTCTTCTTCTGAAACATCATCAAAATCCGTGTATTGACCAATATCAAAGTCCGGATATTGACCAAGACCAAATTTCGAATACTGACTAGTACTCACAATTTTTTCTGTTAGCTCATCATCGTCTAACTGGTCAATACGAAAACCGGAATTTGGTGCTGAAAGTTGATTGGGATTTGGATTAGAGAAAGGTTGTGGGTTTTGAGAAAAACTTAGTTGATTACTACCCGCTACTGACCCAACAATACTACTTCTAGGTTCAACAACATACAATGTAACATCATCTTGTGAAACACTAATGTAAGCAATGAATCGTTCAACATCTTCATTGTCGGTTAACAAATAAACTTTACCATTTCTCTGATAAGATAGCCTAAATCCACTTAGGGGCTCTAAATTCAATTTATTTGAAACACGTAGCATTAGAGTTTCATAAGTTAACTTTTGTAAAGACAATTTTAGTTGAAGATTCATGGGTAAAGGCATATATTGTAAAACACCATGAACATTATCCCATGACCCTCCAAAACACAAATCTATCCAAACATGATCAACATTAGATGATTTCATGGTTGTAAATTAATTTACTAAACAGACGAGCTGCGAAACTAAAACCTGTTGCCGGATTGGGAAGGATGTCGTTGGATATAGGAACGGATGTCGCCGGAGAGAGTGATAGATGGAGATGGAATGAGTTGCGATTTAGGGATTTAGTTTATGATTTCAGTGTTATATACCCAAAATTTCAGTGTTGTGATTTACAGATTCTCGTTGCGATTTACGGATTATCGTTGCGATTTACAGATTCTCGTTGCGATTTACGGATTATCGTTGCGATTTACAGATTCTCGTTGCGATTTACGGATTATCGTTGCGATTTACGGATACGCGTTGCGATTTTATGTATTATCGTTGCGATTTACGGATACGCGTTGCGATTAACGGATACACGTTGCGATTTACGGATACGCGTTGCGATTTATGTGTTCGCGTTGCGATTTTCATATTCGCGTTGCGATTTTGTAAAATCGCAATGCGAATTTGTACTATCGCATTGCGATTTTCAAGAATCGCGTTGCGATTTTGGAAACTGATTTGCGATTCTGGGGATCGCGTTGCGATTTTTATTTCGCGTTGCGATTTTGTTGGTCATTTTGGCAAATCCAAAAAAAGTTGGTTAAAATCGTATATTATAACTTTTTTTTGGTCACTGAGGCGATTTTCTCTTTTTAATATCACCCAAGTAAAATCCACCATCACTACTCAATGGTCTAATCATACAAATAATCCTTCAAATTTATCATTCTTTCACTTGGGCACCAAAAAATCAATGTTCAGACTTTAGCCCCTAAACCTTTAATGTTTAACATTTAGTCCTTAATATAAACCTAATCAAATCATAATTTAACTGAACTAAACTATCTCCATTAGACACACATTCAAAAGCTTACAAAAATTAAATAAATTTTCAAAAAATATTTTTAAAACTTTTCTGAAACAATTTTTTGATTAACCTCGAGTGGGTACAATTTTTTTTTATTAATTCTGAACCAGTTTTAAATATTATAATGTGACGACCGAAAACCAGCAATAAATGACCGTGGGATGATAGAAAATAACCAGGAAAAAGAGAGAAAATGAGCAAGCAAAAATATAGAGAACTTGACTAATCACGAGTCGAGAGCAATTCAACTTTTATTATCATCATCAACAAAATCCATTTTCAATTTTTTCCCATTCATTTCCAGATATCAGAAAATCCGAAAGTGGAGTTATTTATATCCAGATATCAGAAAATGAGCAACAAATGGTCCAAAAAAGATTTTTTTTTATCTTCTCCATCGACAATTAGAAGGACTTCTCCAAAATCCACTTCCGTAAAACTTTTTCAACATCTCTTTTTCCAGTTCCTTGACAGCTTTCTGACTCTCTTCCGAGCTATCCACCCTCTCCACAGTCTGAATCTGAAAATCCCTATCATCATCGCATCCGCAACCACAACCGCCCTTCCGGTTGCACGGCTCAACCGACCCCTTTTTCCTCAACTTTCGCTGCTGCACCTTACTGATAGCACGGCTGCATATCCCTGCGGGGATCTTGTAAATCGCTAAAACTAAAACCTTGGCTGTCTCCAAAGGGAAACAGCAGCAAATAACCGCACACTCAGCTGTCGCCCTCCGACAAACCTCCCCGAAAGCGGAGGAGCTCCTTCTGCAGCGGACGATGGAGCAGGAGAGGGAACGGAGTGACGGCCATGAACGCCTTCGTGGAACTGAAGTTTGGTTCATGAGGATATATTATATGGTTGGAATTTGGAAATTAATTGATGAATAAAAAGGTAGGCGGAATCATTTTGCTTTATATATATTTGAAATGACAAGTTTCAGTTATGATTTTGTTTTGCTTGTCATGCAGTTATAGTTAACAAGAGCATATCACCATTCTGTCGAATCTCAACAACCCACAAGGATGTAAGAACTAAATAAACAAATAAACTGCAGTTTTTGCTGCATGAACGTAAGATTTTACCCTAAACTGATATGGTTTTGATTCCTTATCAACCGCCAAACCATAATGCATTGAACCATTTATGTTATAATCATAAGAAAGATAATCGTAAAACCGGAAAGTTTGGTACTTAGATGATCAATCATAAGACAGAATAGTGATTATCCTGTAGGCTAGCTCCGACAGACGATTCACAAGAGAAAATTCGCCCAAAAACCAGAGAAAAAGTCTATAAGGTTTAATAAAATATTATAAAATCAAAACTATCCAAAAAGCAGTCCACAAGCTGGACTGTTATAGCAAAAAAATCGTCTTTATTCGAATTTTGCCAAAAATAGCAAAATCCCGAAAATCACTCTAAATTGAAATTCGAAATAAAATAAGCAATCTCTCAAAAATCCGGCCTAAATCGGATTTAAATTGACTTCCTAATTAACAATCGAAATATTACCATAAATAGTAAAAAATAACTAAATCTAGTGATTCGGAGGAAAAAATTGGCAGAATTTGAGGTTGAAAAAAAGGCCACATGGAGCGTAGCTCAAATGTAGAGAGCGTGCGCGTCGAAAAGAGCTTTCCGGATTGGGGTCTTATGCGCGATTCTGACACCTGTAGCCAAAGTTATGGCCAAAAGACTGAAACATACTCAAAACGACCCCAATGAGGAACATGTCACAATCAATTCCCGCCTTTGCGCTGATCTGCCAACTCATGGTATCTCAGTGCCATCAACGTGCAATCTGACAGCTCAGCATCATCTGTCTCGGATCCCCCTACATCACTTTTTGAGTTATTTGAATTCTGTTAAAAAATAACTTAGATTCAGTTCAAGCATCGTGAAATTCAAACAAATTGAATTCAAGTATTTTAATGTATAATTAGAATGGTCCGTCAGTTTACTTGAGCATTCCCTGATTTTATTTTGTTTATTTATTAGCCATTTATCTTTAAATTAGACCTCAAGCTTAAGTGTAAATAATTGAACTAGGATTTTTTAAATTTATAGAATAAATAAACTTGATCATACAACTTTAATATTTAAAAAGCTAAATATAAAAAATATTAAAAAAATTATATTATTAAATTATTTAAAAATCAAATTTAGTCGATACATAGAGTTAATAATAATCATCCGAATCACCAAGGTTTCAGGTTCAAGTCTTTGTGTATGCAGAAAATCCCCGCTGGGAGACTTATCCACCAAAATCAGGTGTGCAACTCGGGTCGGTCTAGATTAATCAGGGCTAAGCCTTGGAACTGAAGGGCAAATAATAAATAATAATAATAATCATCCTAACCAAATTAAATTTTAGTCGATATCTTAAAGTTAATACAATATATAGAGGGTAAAGTACACAAATGATCCATTGACTATAGGACATTATTTTTTGTAGACACTTTACTATTAAAAGTTATTAAATTATCCCTCGACTATAGGATGACATTTTGTTGAGTCCTTCAACTGTTCATATGTTGAAAAATTGATAATTTTTTGAGTTAAATGTTAACTTGATGATTGCGTTATGACAAAATCACACTTTAATTATGTCTACTAGCACTGTCATTACTTTCAAACACTACCTCTAGAACATATTGTTTCAAGAACTGGATGGACGACATTATGTAAATGGAAACTCGATCCAAAATATAGCTCAAACGATTTTGTGATCAGATTTTATCATGTTTCAATCAGCAGGTTAACGTCTAACTTAGAAGGCTGCTAATTCTTTAACGAAAAAGAATGTGTTTGGAAAATATGAATAGTTGGATGATCATTTTGTAACTTTTAATAGTCAAATGACTCAACAAAGTAGTGTTCTATAGTCAAAGGACTATTTTGTAAATTTTAATAGTCGAAGACTTAACAAAATAACATCCTATAATTAGATGACCATTTATGTACTTTACCCATATATTTAATACTAATATGTCAACAAATAAGGGGAAGTACTACGTTACTAATGGTGAAGAATTTCTTCAACTTTTTTATTCTATATAAGCTTTGATTTATATTGATGGGGGTAAAGGGTTTATGATATGATATATCTGTTCACTAGGGAGTGGGGACTAAAGACATCCTCATATCCGACGCTTTCTTGCGAAAAATGTGGTGCAAATGTTTTTTTTAATAATTTATAATTTATTGTTAGCTTAATACAAAAATAAGTGATCAAATTATGTCTCAAAAAATATTTTAGTGTTTAAATATTTTTTTCGTTAAAATTAGGTGTCTAATGTTTTCTTAATTATACTTTTAGATGTCTACTATTTATTTTTAAAAAAATTTTAATAATAAAAACATTACTTTTAATTAAAAAAGCAAAAAATAAAAAAATGTTTAATTTATTTATTAAAAAACCTAATTTGTTTTACTAAAATTATAAAAAAAACCTTAAAAAACTAGAACCTCTCATTTTAACCCCATTTCCAACCGTCATTGACCATCTCCGGCTACTATCGTCATCGTCGAATGGTCACCCACCTGTCGCAACCCACCCATTGATAAATTCATCGTCCTTACTGTCACAAAAAATCCCTAAATCTAAAATCCACAATATCCAAATCCCTAATTTCCAATTTTAATTTCCTAACCAGATTGTCGGCCATTATCATCATTGTCGAACGGTTGAGTTTTTATCAGAATTGAACAGTGGTTTGAATAGTGGCGGTAGTGTGGCTTATGGATGTTAGAATCAGTCGAAATTGACGAAGAACAACGACAATATCCGATAAACCTTTGAACGCTCATCCACGACAAATGGTGACATATTACGACGAAAGGCCAACGAGGGTTTGGTCGGGGGTCGATGTCGGTGTTGATGATGGTGGCGGTGAAGGCCACGGTTGGTCAGTCGACAACTATAAAAGGAATAAGACGGGGAAGGGGAAGGGGAATGGGTTGTACACACATATTTCGATACATAATTTAGGTGCTTATTTTTTTATTAAGTCTTTATTATTTTATAGAGTATAATATATTTTAAATTTTTTAATAGTATGTTTAATATTTTTAGTAAATATATTTAATGTTTTTGAGTAATTTAATTTTTATTTTTTAATATATTTATATTTAATGTTTTAAATACTTTTTATTTTAAAAATTATAAAATTTTTAATTCAAAATAATTTTATTTTTCTATAAAATGAAATAAATCATTTAATTTTAAAAAAAAATAATTTGACCCTCGAAATCGATAAAAAAATCAATATATAAATCTATATGAAATCATCAAGCAACTAACCCATATATTGTACAAGTCTACAAACTAATCACTTGCAAAATGATCAGCTGACTTCAACAGCCGGATGATAAGCATTACTTATTCTTGATTAGGTATCCATCAATTGTTAGATTATTCGATGATAGATTGCCCGGCCAACCATATATTTATTATTTTCACCTTTATCTTTCATTTATATTTGATGGTTTAAATCTAAATTAATCGCATCAAATTAAATGAACTAATAAACTATAATAAAATTCTCTTATCAAATATTAAAATATTATCACATTCTATTTCTTTTAATATTTAATATGGTTTTCTCCTTCAAAAATTAAAAAATTTATTTCGATTATATATATTTTTACTTCAGTCTTATGTCTTACTTTCCTGTGAAATTTAAGTGTATTACTTACTGTATGCTAAATAATTTTGTTTTTAAAAACTACGAAATATTTCTACCAATAGTGAATTTCTGGAAACAAATGAAAGTTTCTGGTATATTTGAGGATGTTTGAAGTTGAAATTATTTGTAAAACAAAACAAAGTTGGTTGACGTGGTTTAAATAGACCAAAAAAGAAAAGAAATTAATGAACTTGACTTTACTGATCAAATTTGTCGTCTTCTCTTCGTGTTCAACCAAAAGGTTTTAAACGAAGTTCTTTTGAAAAAGCATGGCCGGCAGAGTCTACCAAAATTCCATAGACCGTTTCAAATCAAGAGACCCAGTTTTGTAGGCCATTTTTTTAGCAATCCTGGTTGGACTCCTTCTTACTTGTGCACTACCAATATACATATAAGTTCAGTTCAGTCTTAGAAGAAGAGAGAAAACAAGATGAGTTTTAATAGTGAAAGTTGCGAAATCAAACACTCCACTAGAGGAAGATCTTCGATGCAGGGTCCAAGGCCTTTTCCGTTAAAGGTTAGCGATTCTTCATTAATGATCAAGAAATCGTCGCATAATAATATTCAAAATAGAATCGGCAGCAGCGGCAAGGTAAGTAAGCCTGTGGTGATCTATCTGAGGTCGCCGAAGATCATCCATGTTAGACCGGAGGAGTTCACGAGCCTGGTGCAACGCCTGACGGGGAAGGACTCATTACCGAGGGACAGATCATATGATCGACCGCCCTCGTCAACTTCTTGGAGCATGGTAGGGGATACTGATGAATCCATGGCGGTTGCTCCACCGGCCAAGGTGGCTAAGAGATCAGGTAGTTTGTTTGATGCAGAACTGTGGAAGCTGGCTTTTAATGGGGTGGAACATGGTGATCAAATTCTTCAACTCTCTCCAACTTGGATGCGTTTCTTAGCTTGCGTATAGATTGTTGGTAATACATATAATTCCACATTAAGTAGAAACCATTTGATATGCTCCGGTTTGAATTTTGTGTTTTTTCTTAGTCAAGTTCCTCCGATAAAATATTATCGAACTTTATATTTTACAATTTCCAACATTTCTTAGCTTGTGTATATATTGTTGGTAATACACAGAATTCTACATTGAGCAGTACGGCTAAAGTTGATTCCAATTTTTGAGTGCATGAATTCTTGGAGAGAATGTATTAACTTCAGTTGTGTTTTTCCCTTATAGTAATTACACATGTCAGGACGAATTTGCTTCTAAGACAATTATTCATCATGATAAAATTATATAATTTTGCTCTTTATTATTTATTTATATCATCATGTAACCCCTTTACCCGACTTAGAAGAAATATGTTGGATCAAGAGAATTCGTATTGGAACTTGTTTCTCACGGATAACCATTATTATTATTATTTTTGATGAAACAAGAGGAAAAAATACACGAATTAAAACGCTGGTGTCAAAACACAGCCAGCAGCTTCTTGTTGCACAAAATCGACGACCTCCATTGGCGGAGTAGTGAAAACCATATGGACTTCACCCCTCGCTGTAGCTAACTTCGCTAACGTATCAGCCACCTTGTTTGCATCCCGATGAATATGCTTCAAAACCACATTCCAATCCCGATGTATCAACTCCTTAACACAATCAAGAAGCGTGATGATCGAAGCTCTTCTATAACTTTCCTGCAACATTCGAACAGCCTCCAAACAATCGGTTTCTACCATTACTTTCCTCTCCCCAAGATTCCAAGCATGAGAAAGTTCTTCATGGATACCCCACAATTCCGCTTCAACAATAGAACAAATACCGATCGCTTTAGAGAAACCAATCATCCAACCACCATTCGAGGATCTAATGACACCCCCACATGTAGCAAATCCATCACCTATTTTTCGTGAACCATCAGTATTAACCTTACACCAATTGAGAGGAGGCGGAATCCAAGGATCAAACGTATTCAACAAACGACGAGAAGACTGAGCTAATGATAAGGCCGAATCTAATGCACTATTAGCTTCACGGCTTAGTCGCCTACCGCACAATAGCACAGAATCATTCTCAATGTACTCCGGATAAAAAATCCTCCTATTCCGGTCTTTCCAAATTAACCACAGAATCGATCCAAACAATAAATCCCAATCCCCTTCTTCTCTCGCATAAAACCCCGGGGAAGCGATATTAATCTGTAACCATTCTCTAAGATCTCTTGTGAAAGAGTCATCTAATTTTTCAGTTTTAATTAAAGATGCCCAAATTACCATGGAAACTTGACATTGGCGAAATAGATGATCCGTTGTTTCACTTGAATGCCCACAAATTCCACAACATGAATGAGATACCATATGACGTCTTACTCTTTCCGTATTCGTAAGTAATCGATCCTTCGCTAGTAGCCATAAGAAGATCTTTATCCTCTGTAACCCTCGGTACGTCGCTATTACTACCCATACCTTATGCGTATCGTCATCTTGACATTCATGCTTCAACTCATAAGCTGATTTAATTAAGAAATGTAGATCAACACTCCATTTCCAACCCAGCGTATCTTTTCTACAATTCTGCTGAGGAGGCATCGTTGCAGCAATTCTATGCACAATATCGCTTGGTACTCTATCGATAATATCCTCCCATCGCCATTGCCCATGCCCTTCGACTATAGCAGCTACCGAGCTATTCGAAAGATTGGCTCTCTCAGCTTGATTCACAATATATTTTTCCAAAGGCCCCATATCACTAAGTCAATCATCCCACCAAAAATTCACAATACGCCCATTGCCAATATTCCAAGCCAAGCTTTGTCGAACATCTTGCCATACGTGAACGATGCCCCTCCAAAGATGCGAGCTGCCTGCACGATTAATGGATTCGAGGATCAAATCCACCCATTTATACTTAGTTCTTAGCACTCTAGCCCACAATTGGTCGGGGATTAACTACTAATTTATAAGCTATCTTAATAAGAAATGCATCATTTTGAGTGCTTAATTTCTTCATGCCGAGACCACCCTTAATTATTGGATTGCAAACAGTCTCCCATTTAACAAGAGATACTCCTCCTCCGGATTCAGTACGACCCCAAATAAAACCCCGAATTAATCTTTTGATCTCATCACAAATCCCTTTCGGAAGCTTAGTAGATTGCATGGAATAAAAGGGAATCGACGATAGTACTGCTTTTGCTAATGTGATCCTTCCTGCCAAGGACAACGATTTTGCCTTCCACTCTGTGAGTTTATCCCGAACTCTCGAAACAATATAACTATACGATGCCCTCATAATCCGAGAATGTTGTAGAGGTACTCCAAGATACTTCCCCAAATTTTGAACTTCTTGGAACCCGAAAGCTGAGTTGATGGAATTTCTTAAATCCAATGCCGTATTCTTCGAGTAATAGATGGTAGATTTCTGAATGTTTATTTTTTGACCCGAAAACTTGCAGAATAGGTCCAAGATATTCCGAATAATGTTATATTGCTCCATAGACACCTCCGCAAAAAGTACCAAATCATCCGCATAGAAAATATGAGAGAGAGCAGACCCATAACAACATAGACGAATAGGCTTCCATTCCCCATTATTGACTGCTCTCGATATCGTATGTGACAACCTCTCCATGCACATCACGAATAAATAAGGTGAAAGTGGATCACTCTAACGCAATCCTCTTTTGGGAGAAAACGAATCCAACATAGCACCGTTCCAAAGTACCTGGGTCGAGACAGAAGTTACACAACGCATAATAAGAAGTCTTAGGATCTCCAGTATGTGAAGTTCTCTTAAAGTTTCTTCGATGAAAGGCCATTCCAGTCGGTTGTAAGCTTTCTCTAGATCGATTTTTATGGCCATGTAGCCTATCCTTCCTTTTTTTTAATCTCATGGAGTGCACTACCTCTTACGCAACAATAATATTATTTGTGATTGACCTATCTGGAACAAAACTCGTCTGGGTCTCCGATATCTAGTGGCTCATCAGAGGATTCAGTCGATGCATAATAATCTTTGTAACCAACTTATATAATACCGAGCATAGACTAATAGGGCGAAATTGGTTAAAAGATTTAGGTGCTTTAACTTTTGGTATTAACACCAAAAGGGTGCGGTTGAATTCATTATCAAACATCCCTCCTGCAAAAATATTCTGGATCAATCTACACACACTGAAACTTACAATATCCCATTTCCTTTGGTAGAAAAAAACATGTAGCCCATCAACTCCAAGCGCCTTTAGCGGACTCATGCTAAATAGGACGTCACAAATTTATTCCGTGAATAAAGGTCTCGTAAGGTTGCTCAACTTACAATTAGAAATTACCAGAAAACACCCCTGGACCGAGTACTCAATCTCATAATCATTGGTACTAGTGAATAACTCCTTGTAAAAATTAACTGCCATCGAACAAAGCACTTGTGTATCCGACACCCAATTACCATCCGATGTTTTGAGCGCACCAACATAATTATACCGATGTATCATCACCGTGCATGCATGGAAAAATTTTGTGTTTTTATCCCCCTGGAGAATCCATTGATTTCTAGACTTCTAAAACCACAAACTTTCCTCATTTTGAAGGACTTCTTCCAGCTCACTTTTCAACTTGGAATGCAAGTCCACCAATCGCCGAGAATAAACTGAGTCTAGGGCCTTATCAATACCTCGTAATCGTGCCAGTAATTCTTTTTTCTTCCTCCCAATATGCCCAAACACCTCCAAGTTCCATTCGATAGCTTTTCTCTTGAAGGAATTGATATTGGTTAATACATCTACATCCTGATTCCAAGCTTCTGAAATGAGGCTCTTGAATTGAGGATGATGTTGCCAAGCGGCAATAAAGTGAAACGGCCTGATTCCATGTATTCTCGAGATATTCTGTATTTGCAGAAAGAGAGGACAATGATCCGAACCCACTCTGTCAAGGTGCAACACCATAGTACCCGGGAATGCTTCAGCCCAACAACTATTCATAAGACGACGATCTAACCGTTTACAAAGATTTCATCTCCTCCACGTAAACGGAGATCCCCTATAGTCCACTTCGATTAATCCCATATCGAAAATAAAATCTGCAAATGACTTATTTACTCATGATCCACGACTAGAGCCTCCCTCCCTCTCATCAAGGTGAAGGATGGAATTAAAATCACCGCCCATGATCCAAGCTTCATTTTCGCTGGGAGCAAGGTTCATAAGATGTCTCCATACTAAGCGTCATTTCTCCACTTGAGAACTCGCATAAACTGCCGTAAAATATAACCATCTAGATACTTTAGCAGACCAACATCTACCATGAATAAATTGATACGAAATTGTTAGAATTTCAACATCAATCCCGTCTTTCCGAAGAATCCAAATTCCGCCACTAATCCCATGCGCTTCAACTCTAAACGAATTTTGAAAACTGAATGCCCGAATAGCTTTATCTGCAGTCATTCCACTAATACGAGTTTCCAACAATGCAACAACTCCAGGTCAACTTGTTCGACAATGTTCACGAAAGTAGCGCCTAAAGTTAGAGCTTCCAGCTCCTTGACAATTCCAAAAAAGAAACTTAACCATTAAAGAAAAAAGAAAAACCGAGAGCACACCATTACTGGGGAATATTCGGGTTAGCATTCTCGCTATCTGGGAGTGAGAATTCTTCCGTTACCATCACCGAATGCTCCACTGCTGGCGGGATTCCTTCATCCATTCCTTTTTCACGCACATTAGAGAAACATCCTCCTTGTTACGTTCTATAATCACGTTGAGGATTCAACATCGTATTCCGCAACCAATCCGTCAAAATTGCCGGGGAGAACTTGAAATCTTTGTTCTTTTTTTTAACCTTCAACCCCTTGCTACTGTCCCCCACCTCTCTTCTATTAACCTTAGTACGATTATTCTGTTTTGCACCTTTGTTTCAACCATCCTCTGAAATGATAACCACCGCATGGTTTCCTCCTATGAATGCATTA